CATCCACTATGGATCCTCAGTGGAAGTATACAAACAATAAGCATAAGTTTGTTAGCATTGAAAATCACTGAGACATTTTTACCAGTAAGTTGACCTAAAAGGAATTACTTGTTCCAAGTTCCTTTTAGAAATAAAAATCTAAACTACTGCGAAATGCCCATCAAATTAACCTAAAACATGAAGGGATACAATATTTTAGGCAGTCTGTCCTTATGGGAAGAGCAAATTGTTAATTAAGAAGTCATACCTAAACCCATGGGAGTCATTATTTGACCTTGAACGCACATCATTCACAGGCCTCTGCTGCATTCCTTGTTTAGTTTCACGGTAGCCATCAATTGGTTTACTGGATACCATACTTGGAGAAGCATCTGGCTTTATCCCGGAACGCTTCTTCTTCATTTTTGACTTTTCCCAGCCATCAACACTATTAGATAAATTTCGATCCTCTCCCTGAACTGCACCACTACTTGCAAGCCTCAGCATTTCCCTATCCCTGTCTACAATCACAGATGGCCGCACAAGAGAAGTACTCCGCACATCCATCTACAGTTATCATAATTAGGTCAGTCTTCCCTTAGAGGAGTTACAATGCAGCAAATACTAATAGTGGAACTTAAGATCACAACAGACATTATCAATCAAACTTGCATGGATTACCAGGTGGGATGCACATGGTTAAAAGCACACATAACCAATGCAATGTGCAACACAGTCCACAGCTTGAGAACAATAAAACAGTGCTAAACTAGCATGCATAATCATAATTATATGCAATCATGCATGCACTACAATTCCGAGAAAAATGAAAAAGAAGAAGACTACATATCAAAACCTACTAAAATGCACAAAAACAAACTACCTTTCAATACCATGTCCCCACTCATTCAAGTAAAGAAATCTTCCCATGCATGACATTTCAAAGTGATATTTAAGTGGAAGAAGTTCCATATTAGATCAAGGTTAACGATCTGAATAAGCCCAGAAACCCAGTAGCAAAATACAATAATCAAAACAGCTTACGATGATTTCTAAGGAATGTTTAGACAAAATGCAGTTTAGCCAGAACCACAACTACAACGGTTCCTAGAAGCTAATTCTAAACAAAACATTCATTACAGTACTCAAGATATTATTACTATTATAATTATTATTATACGAACAAGGCGAGTGAAGAAAGCAAATGTAGCAGAATTTTTCCAAAATACAAACCCTCATATCCACCAAAGAAGTACGAGTGCGTTTGTTCGGGATAAAGTTCTTAGTCCTTTCTTCAGACTTTTGCTGCTCAAGTTCGAAACCACCTGTGACAGTATGACTCTGAATACCAATCTTGCCCATATTTGTCCCCAGGACTGACCGATCACTTGATAACACTGAACTAGAACGTTCATTAGAAAAGCCTTCTGTTCTTGATCTCTTCTTAGATGGTACGCTTGGGAAAACCTTGTTGAATGCAGATAAAGCTTCATTGAACGTTTTTACACGTTCCCTGTAAAATTATTTGATGTTATGCAGTAGTTGAAAGTTACAACTACAAACCAAACTGCAAAATATACACAAATATACCTGGCCTTAATAGAGCTTTCACGCAGACCAGCCTTAACTCGTTTTATTTCCTCCGGAATAGGAGATGGTAGCAACTTTCCTTTACTGAAGCAGATGGAGATTCATCAGGTGAAATGCTAAGAGCGACGCTCACAAGTCTTTTCAAGTCCCCTTGTCTGCTAGACTTGTGCTCTGCAGCAACCAACTTTGGATCAAAGCGCAAACACTGGAAGAAGTTCGTTACATCTCCTTGTGTTATTGCAGACGTGCTTCTTGACATGTTTGGAAGTGAAGATAAAATTGGATTTTCCATGCTTTCACGAAAGCTACCAGATCTATCCAATGCAGTAGCTATGTGGGATCCTCGCTGTCCACTGGTGTATAATGGTCTATCTGGGCTACCAGACGAGAGATCAAACTTGCTAGAAGTTGCCATTGCATCAATTTCCACACTCTATCAGTATCACAAAGCCAGAAAATACAGAGGTGCATGACAAAGACGGGCACAACAGCACATAAAACCCAAACTCTTAAGAACAATGACTGGGTAGTGCATCTGAAACAGATAAGGATCATAAGATAAGAAGCCAAATCCCTGTTCTTTTTTTTTTTTTTCCAAACTAATGATTTCAGCTATCATAGGATGGGTAGTCATTTTAAATCCTTAATACTGATATAAAAGAAAGTACGATGGGAAACATAACACGAAGTAGCCAATTGCGAAAAGTATAAACAAGAAACTGGACTGAGATGCATAAACCATACAGAACATTTATTGTGGATTTCTTCGTTCAAGGGTAAAACAAGTCGAAAAGATCACAGTTAAAAAGCAAGAGTACGTTTAATTTCAGAGTACTGGCCACAGACTACTAACCTAAACATAGAGGATTAAAACAATCTTGCAAGCTCCACAATCCAAAAGGAAGAAGGAAAGAAATTAAGCCTTACATTAGAAGTTCAATCTTGTTACATCCATAAAAGCAAATTCATAAAAGCAAATTGGTGAAGCAACCCACACGAGAAAGTTTATCAACATATCCTAATATATAAGCAACCTAGCAATTAGCCAAGAAACCATGAGACCATCATAAACCAGACACACAATGAACAAAAATAAATGCAACTGATGTGTATGCCATATGAGAATTTTGTACAGGAACCGAAACCTAAGAATATCATTATGGGTGCAGCTCCATTAATGTTATCATTATTCCAATCAACACAATGATATTTGATTAAGATCAATAAATTCATGCACAAAACTTGACATGTTACATATATACCAAAGACAATTACTACCTTGTACTCAAGAATTAACTTTTTAGAAGGAGATCAAACACTTACACAAAAATAAAATTAAAAACTAGACTAGCAAAATCAGATAAGTTGACAGTAAATAGAAAGCATTTTAACTTCAACCGTGCACAATTTACTGTACTGGGGTAATATTCCATTCCTGGGAGTTTGACAATGATTTGGTTAAGCTTATTAAGGTATGGCTTCTCCAGGGTAACTCCTTAGTTACCCAATCAAACAATTGCTAGAAAGATTATCCTTTAGTCAAACTCCTCCCAGGTCTATCCCTGTACTTCCACAGTTTGCTACTAATGTTCATTAGAATAAGAACACACCAAAGATCTAAGGAAAATCATACAAGCTAACATTTAAATGAAGTCATTGCTGATACCATTTAATTATGAGTTTCGAAGTTCCGGTTGACCCTCCATAAGCTACTACATTGACCAATAAATAGTAACTAAGTTAATGAACAACTAAATGGAACAACACATGATATCACCAACACCCATATGATGGCTCAATTAACATTTGTCATGAGCTTAGAATAATCAAAATTGACTCATCATTCTATTTAACCTTAAAAAAAACTTGAGATAATTAAATTAGTACAGCTATCTCAAAGTGACAACTGTAGTCACCATAGGTACCTTTTACATGTATCATCTTCCCTTCTTTGGAAATAAAAAATTCCCTGACTACTCTTTTTTCGGAGGCAGATTATTCCAGCTGATGTCTGATTCGTAAGTTCAATGTCTTTCGCGCTAAAATTTCACTCAACGATACTACTATTTCCTAATATGTCTTCAATTATTCTCCATTCTAATCAACAAAATGTACCTGTCAAAACAGATACTCGGTCACATAAAATTTTCAAATTTTGGTCTACTCTTAAGATTTTTGAGCTTCATTGCTTTCTAAGCTCAAATTTATCTATAATTTCACTTCAATAATAAATAAATCAAACCTTAAAAACCCCAAAAAACTTCGCAGATACAAAATGGAAACCCTAAAAGTTGAATCCACGAAACCCTAGATAAATTAAGCATTACAAACCTTCAATCACACTTCAAAAATTAAACCCAAATTTCGACACGAAGAACTTAAATCAAGCAAAACTAAATCGAAACCGAAGTTCAGCATTCAAATCTTATACCTTTCAAAAATCGGAGACAATGATGTCCAATTGGCGGCCAAGCAAGCGCGATTCTTTGATTTGGGGATTCGTCGATACGTCCGGAATCGAATATTCCAAGGGTTCTAATTAGAGTTCCGAGCTCGAAATCGAAGGTTCGTACAAAGCCATGGAGGACGAAGAAGAACCCTGTGTTTTGATCGACAATGGAAATGGGGGACGGTTAAATTACTGTCATACCCATGTTTCGTTTTACCGATGAATTAAAGTGGGCGTTGGGCGGGGGTAGTTTGGGAACAATAATGTTGTCAAAACGGCTACAGAGAGTTTTCAATGAATGTATGTAAACATATATGTAATAATATATGCATGTATGATTGTCTGTAGGTTTATATATATATACATATAGGCACATGGGATGAATTTACAATTTGCGAAGCGACAATTATTGAGCAATTTGAAGCAACAAAATATTAATTTATGAAAAGTTATAATTAAAATCAAGTTTTTTTAGTTAAAAAAAGTGATGTGATTATGGTTTTCGATCATGATGTTGACTGAGTGACAGTTAACTAAAAACGTTACAGTATATGTTTCGTTCAACTTAATAACAAACCACATAGTGTCAGAGAGTACCAAAATATAACACGTATAATCAGTTACATAACATATGCGGGTTTTTTCTTACGATTTAGGATTCAGATGTTTGTGCATGTATTATAATTCAAGTTGATTTGTTGTTGTTACACAAAAGGTAAAACTGAAATTTCACATCCTAATCTTTATAATAATATCATTAAAATGTTTACCTAGTTTGGTCATGTTTTCTTATTTGGTTTCATTGGTACACCTCCTTTGAAATGCTAAAATAGGCAATTTTACCATCGCTCCTTACTACATTTTATCACTTTAAAATTATCCTTACAACGCCCAAAGGAGTTCAACATAAAAAATGATTGAGAAATCTAATTACAATAGAACAAACAAAAACGTTTAAGATCGTTGTAAAACAATGTCAGAGTAGTTTGGCATGGGAAATGTTCTTTTTTCATTCATTCGTACAAGAAGTAAAAGGGCAGTTCAGATTATTTTGGACTTTAAGTTGTCCTAAACTAAATAAAGCACGAGTCCCTTTAACTCGCGATAGGCTGTGCCATCCGACCATTACAACGTGACAAGAAACAATGTTTGATGTTTGTTTCGAATGTCACTCTTCCTATCTAACCATGTCATGCAATGGAGGACTTGCATAAAACAAGGACGCTTAGATCGCTATATGTCAAACTAATCATAGGAATTCAAATGAAAACGTTAAAATATGTGGCAACACGCGAACAATTTGGAACTCAGCCGCCTCGTCAGTTCCCGCCTCTTATAAATCTCTCTTTGCATTAGTCTGGCGGTTTGTTTTGTTCCAAACGAAAAGCATTTTGGCGACTGTTGTATTGAATCTTGGTTATCTACGAATTGGTAAAAACAAAAGTTAAATATTGAGGACAGGGGAAAAGTTTTTCCCTCGTACCGTCGAGGGTTCCTAGAAAGGAAAAAATAAAGGCATAAAGAAGCCAAACTGCACTCAGCTGCAATCAATTTTAAATGAAATAAGAGACACAAGTATTGGGAAGATATGGGACTATAAGATTTCAACATCAATAACATCCTCAGATTTAGGACTCAAAACCTCAGTGTTTTCATGTTTCGGCAACCATAATTTCCTATAGACAATCAAGGGAAGAAAGATTGAAAACTGCCACAAGCGAAGGCACATTTTGAATGCCAAAAGATCGAACTGTTACAAGAAGGCACATTTTGAATGCCAACCTGGGTAACCAAGACCTTGACAAAACTCTCACACCTACTGGGATACAAAAAGCTCTCAAGATCTACTAGTACTACTCCTACAAAACCAACCCATTGAACGGGTCATCTTGAAGCGTCTTCAACATTACTACTATACACTATTCTGCAAGATGTAGCTGTCAACTGTGTTGATCATGTGGGTGAAAACCTTACCGGAAAAAACAAGCAGGTGTGCCCAGCATGTTCCTAGAAGGGCTCTGTCCGCCTGTCATACTAGATGCTACGAGTCACTCTGACATGACATCCTCTGATGCAGCAAGTACCTGAGCTTCCATGTCGTACGAGGAATACTTAGTGGAGTAGTCCAGTACAGAATCACCTGGACAGGTACACAGTCAATTATTACGGGCACATTACAAACGAAATTTACAGTCGATGAGACCAGTTTGGGTCAGGATTTATTACTTTGAGAAGAGTCAACAGATGTCCGGTTCAGTGATGTACTTCTCTTTAGATCTGTAACAGTAATGAACATAATCCAGGAAATTTAGCAGATGAAGTTACTCATTAAATTAAAACTTGGTAGCATGTTGCGCCTAGAAAGACAAAGGAAAAAGAGATGTGAAGAAAATTGTACTGCGGTACAATGCATACCAGATGAATGATGCAACCCTTTGACAGCCTCAAAATTCTTGTACGTGTAGCCAACAAAACTGAGATCTTTAGGAGTCAACAACGTCTGCAAAGAAAGATACAGAACAAGCATAAAGTGTCACGGAAACTACTTTACATAAATCAAAACTAATATAACACGAATTTTCTTTCCGTGTTTTCCCTTCTTCAAGAGTAAAAATGTTCCTTCATACAAGATCATGAGAATAAGCACACCGGGCCTCCAAAAAAAGATTAGTTGATATTTTAGATAAGTTCAAACCCCCAGAAATATAAAGAAAATTTGTTTTATTAATCTAGTATGTCAAAATGTACCCTTTTACACGTTTAGATTACCAAAGCCATCACCAGATTATGAATTGACATTGTGCCACTTTAAGTCTCCGTTCTTTTTGGCTATGAGAAACATACCTTTCTCATTGGTCCAGATCCAGTTCTTCCAGGTGCTGGTGGATCCACCTGCAGCACAGTTGAATTTTAGACACAAAGGCACAATCCAGTACTTCACTACTAGCAACTAGTATAGGTCGGATGTTTTCGTGAGCAGTAAGCCGACAGGAGTATATTTGACACCTTACCTCATCATACTTCATAAAGTTTTGAGTATCAAGTTCATCATTGACCTCTGGTTTAAATGCTGCCTCAGTCTCGTAAAGTCTGTCCCATGCGATATCTCTAAACCAAGGATGAGCCTGATCCATTTAAAATAAGAGGACTTATTTCATTAAGAATGGCGTAACAATGTGAGGGTAAAACCGTAAAAGTAATCGGAAATAGAGGGGAAATACCTTAATTTGGTCTGCTCTACAAAGTCTATTTTCAACATCGCAAAGGAACCTACTGATCAGATCCTTTGCTTCAGGTGTCAACCTTGCCTCAACAGGAAATTTCAAGTGATTTTTCCAATGTACAATCTGCATACATTCTTCCATATGTCAGGTCATGCACGAGATATGAATATATCAATAAAACTTTAGTAAGAAATGTAGAACTCCGCAAATGTTACTGCTTCAGAAACAATTTGTAAATTCAACTTTCTTGAGAAAAACATGTGAGACAAACGCAACCTGGCGAGTTATGTTGAAATGAATCTTACTGCAGTCTAATTATTGTGAAAACCACACAACAATGAAAACTATGAGATAGTATACACTTGAATCAAAAAAATATAAGCAAAATATATACTGATTGATTAACCTTTCTGCATGTTGTGACTGGATCATCAGAGTAAAATGGAGGATAACCAACCAGCATCTCATACATTATCGCACCAAGTGACCACCTACAAGCGGGAATTGGGTAAGAAATAGAATTCACAAACGAACTTGCTCACACATATTTTAGCTACTATAGCAATCCAATAGTGCTGCAACATCGTGGACTCACCAGTCACATTCCATGCCGTATCCTTTCTTCAACAATACCTCTGGAGCGATGTAATCTGGAGTTCCGACTGTCGAAAATGCCTACCATTGAAACAAAGGAAATGGCATTAAACATTGGATCTTAAATCTATGAAGTGTTATTATATACAAATAGCAAACATTTGTTGCTTGCACTTTATCCAGTCAAGAATCTATGAGTAAGACTGTAAGAGAGGTGAAATTCCACATTAGAATATAAAGGAAAGGATCATTTGAGTACCAATTTTCTCCTGTTTATCTGCCAATGCTGAAGTTGCTCAAGCGGGCTTTTCCAGCGCCTCCCATTTTTGGTTTCTGGGAAGGATTCATCAATATCCATTGTCTCATGCAGGTTCTCATCATCAAGCACTTCATTTTCATTTATGGAAGATAAATTTGAGCAATCAAGAGGCTTGCAAAGACCAAAATCAGAAAGCTTCATGTGACCATTTTTGTCTAACAGAAGATTGTCTGGTTTTATGTCTCTGAAAAAAAAAAAAAAAAAATAGACGTAGCAAATGCAAGAGTTACATTATGTTATCTTGATGTACCATTTATTAATATAACGCACTTTAACAGAATGCAGCTTCCGATGTTGGCAAGCCTGTGACCAAAAGGATAAACCAACCTGTGAATGTAGTTATGTTTGTGAATAGATTCTATGGCCAGAACACATTGTGCAATGTAAAATCTAGCGACAGTTTCAGTCAAAGACTCTTCTCTGATAAGCAAAGTCATCATGTCACCACCAGGTAAATATTCCATGACTAGATACAAGTATTCAGCATCTTGAAAGGAATAGTAAAGTTTCACAATGCAATGACTGGCAACCTCTGCAAGCAAATTCCTTTCAGCTCTAACATGTTCAACCTACGTTGTGGATAGACAACCAGTGAGTACAAGATTTTACAATAGAAGTAATGGATGAAAATTTGAGAACCTTAAATCGAAGTTTCTCTTTCCCTTAAGGTAAAACAAGTTAAAATTAAATCAATTCTTGATGTGCCATATAATTACCTGCCCCCTACTGAGCATTTCTGACTTCTTCAACTTTTTCATGGCATAAATGTTGCCAGATTTCTTCTCCCGGCACAGTCTAACCTGCAAAATATTAATATAAATATTGTATCAAGAAACTATCAAACATAAACCAAAGAATATGAAAAAAACTACAACAAAGAAAATGAAACCATACTGTAACAGTAAACAACTTGAGGTCAAGGGTGACAGAAAGAAGCTTATACTCACTTTCTCTGTATATTAATACGTTGAAAAGGAAAATAAAAATCTTTTAAACCTAGCACCTATGCAAGTTATAAGCGGTGCATATCTCTACCTCTCCAAAGGCCCCTCTCCCAATTATGGCCAAAAGGTCAAAATCATCGACACAAATCTTGTGCCTTTTAAGGCGAATGTATTGAGTCTCTGTGCGCTCCAAATCCTTCAACAAATTGATCTGTTCCTCCTCTGGTACATGTTCAGATGCCAACTTCTTTTCCAGCACCGAGCGCCTAGAAACAATGAACACATTTGAGGGCACATATCAAGATCAATGACAGAACCTTTATCCTCTAACCATTGCCAATTTCACTTTAATTAGCAGTGGTGGAGGCACATCACAACTAGTGGACTCTAAAAACATATAAAAAAACAAGAACATATTCAGCACTAGCGATATAAAGTTTATGTGGCATGAATGCAAGAGCGTTTGAAGTAAAACTGCCATAATGGACACTGGAAACAGAACAGACCAGGCATTGAAGATAACATTGATGAAAAACACCGCAGAAATAACCATACTAACAGGCGATTCTATTGCCTAAGAACTCAACATTTTAGCTTTTTCAGCACTCTCTTCCGGTGACTCTACCATGCACAAGTTGAAATATTAACACAAATTATACCTGATGGAATGGCATGAAAAAAACACAAACGAGAAACAATCCAAACAATCCATAAAGAACCAATGACAACCACCACCCATTTTATGTTATGAAACATGTTTCTCGCTTATTGCTAAACCAAAGGGGCTCAATCACACAGTCAACTGCCAAATAATGCACACTAAATATCTTTCTCAATTTTTTCACAGTTGCACCCAGTTTAGTTCTTCTAAGGTGATTAAAGTCATAAAAAAACCAATAACAAAATACTCTTCCAACTAAGGATTTGCGGATAATATAATTACGAAGCCTCAAAACTAATAATTATTCATCACTATGCAGTTCTTACTAATTTGCAAATGTCATTCTGCAAAATCAGCACCCAAAATCTTATCATGTTTGATATTCCTTATAAGGTTACTATCATCATTAGCTCTCCTGGAAGAAAAAATCTAAACACAATTCGACTCGGCAATAAGCATAACTTAAACAATATTTACTTCCACTTCATGCAAGCATATACATTCCAAAAGCACAATGATTTGGGAATTTCCAATGAACCCCATTTCCCAAAAAACCAATCAAATTCCAACTCTTTCCAGGAATGCAATTCCAGGGCAGTCAAAGAAACACCCTCATTTCTCAGGAAAATCAAGGCTTTCCATTCCAAACAAAAGAAAAAATCAAATACCCAGAATAAAAAACAATTCTGATCACAAAAACACCAGCTGAAATTGCAAAAACAAGGACTGGGCAAGACAGAAAGATCCTTAAAAACAGTAAATTCAACAAAAGGAAACGTCTTTTTTCCCTACCTCTGTTTACGATCCTGGATGTGCTTCATCTGAGCCTTGTAGTGGCTCTCTATGAACTGCTTTGCCGCAGCCACCCTCTCCAGGGTCAGGCTGGACCCCACCTGCCCGTTCTCCTCCTCCTCCGCCGCCTCCACCGCCATGGGCCCCGCCTCGTCCCTCTCCATCTGGTTATGGTTCTCCATCCTCTCCCTCTCTACCTCTCTCTATGGCTTGAGAAATTTGGATGATTGTGACGAGTGACAACAAAGCAAAAACCCCGGGACGAATGAAAATATGAGACCCCTCCAAAAACAGCTTCTACAACCAATTTTTATATTTCTCTCCACCAACGTCTAATTTGTCTGTCTGACACGTGTCCATGTCCAGTTGGCTGTTCCTGGGTTCCTACAGTTGGCCCCTGTTGGGTGGCATTTCTCAGGTGGTACAGCATGTTAAGTACAACTAAATATATTCTCTTTATATTAAACAAGGGAATAAACCAAATTTTATTCCTTAATTGACAAATAATCATATTTTGGACAAAAAATTATAATTAATCATATACTTAGAAAGTGATTTGTAAATTCATGTTCTTAATGCTGCAATGGCATAACAAGATTTCCATATGTGAAAGTCTCAAAAAGAAAATTTTGCCTGTGACAAAATGTACGAGAAGTTTCTAAAAATGGAAACCAAATGTTTCACGGTTGTTGGTAGGCAGGTTTGGAAGTGAAAAGACTAAATCTGCACAGTTTTAGCTGTTGTAGTCTTATCTGCTTCCTCACTAATGAAAGAAATCCAATCTGTCAATATGGTTGGAGATTGCCAGAGTAGAATTTGAAACCAAACATTTTGCAGGTGCAATGAACTTTCTTGATGAGAGTCATTTAATAAAAGGAAAACATGATGGTTCATGAATTTGGGGAGGTAATGGAAATGCTCCCAAAATGTTATAACTTGCATGTCTATGCATGTCCGTTCATATGTATTTGTCTTTGCAGGTGCAATGTATACTTTTGTGTCGATCTGTATCATTACGGAGGAATCTATACATATTTTTGTCTATCTGTATCATTACAGGAGAAATGTATATACCTTTATGTCTATTTGTATCGTCACGGAAGGAATTTATACACATTTGTGTCTATCTGCATCGTCACGGGAGAAATGCATACACATTTGTGTTTATCGGTTCGTCATGAAAGGAATGTATGCACTTTTGTCTCTGTCAACATCCTCACGAGAGGCACGTATGTACTTTTGTGTCTATCTGTAACATCACGAAAGGAATGTACACCTTTGTCTCTATTTGTATTATCACGAGAGGGATGTATATACCTTTGTGTCTATCTATATCTCCACGGAATGAATGTGTACACATTTGTCTCTATTTGTATCATCACGGAAGAAATATATTTATATACACCGTCTCTATTTGTGTCATCACAAAAAGAATGTACACACATCTGACTCTATGTGTCATCTCGCTCATCAACTTGATCGGGTACACGAGGAGAGAGATCGACACAAAAGTGTATACACCTGAGACACCAAATTAATCTCCGAATTAGAGAGCAAAATCTAAATGTGCCTTGATGGTACCATGTTTATAATTAGGTTTATAGATTTTACATTCTTAATGATAATCTTCTCTTCAGTAAATGATAATCAAGCAAAAACAGAGAAGCTCTGTTAGATTATTGCAAATGTATTGAAAGACTCAGATATTGTAAATCGACTTCAAAATGCAGACTGGCAAAAATCCAACTGGCCAAACAGGCAACCGATCCACGGTTGATATCTTTGTCTTTCTATCACGATATAAGTGAACAAACAACCGGTTACAAAGCCGATTCTGCCCGAAACAAGACTAATGGAAGTTTGAAAAATCTAGTAAAAGTGATAATTAGTTGATAAAATAGATTTGTAGGTCTCCCCCATCAACGCAAACTTGCCAAGAAAGAGTTGGTTAAAGTCAAGGAGCAGAGGAGACCAGGTAAGCAAATAGTTCAAAGGTGAGAGGAAAGTGGGGGCAGAGCAACACAAATCATAATTGGTGTTGTGACAAAGTAGGGGAAACCGCGTTGCAATCGGCTCGTTGGACAAAGAGTTGATAAACCCTATGACTGCAAAACAGATTGTATGGTTGAAAATTAGGAATTTATGATGCGCAATCACATATTCTGTTGAACTGGGAATTTTGGGGCCTGCCTAGTTTAATAGCTTGATATGGCCAAGAAGTAAAAGTTACATGATTGACAGCGGGAAGAATCTTCCGTATCTTCCATTGGATTTTTTTTCTGTGTCTATCTCTCAAAACGTGAGCAGCTAGCACAATACGAGAAAGATGCAATGTTGTATACAATTGGTAACGTAAGTGATCAAGCACATGACATGAAAGATGTGAGGTTGTATACAACCAGTGATACAAGAAATTGTCTCTTGACAATCTAATTTGAAAATCTTGAGTAGGATTATAGTTATTCAAACTTTAGAGTAAAAGAGATAGCTGCACAATTATATACAATTTGTGATATGACATATTTCCTCTTCAATAACATAATCAAGAATCTCATCTAGTTATATTGCTCAAACATGCATCTTAGAGAGATAGGTACAAAGTTATATACAACTACTGATACATCAACTTTTTTGTCGACAGCGTAATTAAAAATGTCAATTGGTGCTTGGTGACACGATAAATTTTATCTTCGACAATGAATCATAAATGAAAATCTTGACTAGCTTTATAGTCGCTCAAATTTCATAATCAGAGGGAAAGATGCAGAATCACAATTATATACATTTAGTGATACGACAGATTTCACCTTCAAACTTCAAAATCAGATTTAGAATTTTAGATAGCAAAAAAGAAGGAAGTATATTTAGAATAGATAAATAGATAGAAGGTGGGTAAATGCTTATATACACAAAGCTAAACAAAGCCAAATATATATCATCTTTTACTCTATAATATGACTAGAACAAAAGCCGAACTCAAAACCCCCCTATAGAAAACCAGAACCGGTGCCTGCGGCAAGGCCATGGTGCAACAAATTATGAGCAATATGATCCCTCGCCTGCACCGATCCCGCCGACCTCAGACTATTTGCCGGCGTTGCCACATCGTCGAAGAGCTCGAACTCGAACTCGGGATCGAGCTCATCATTCCTCATTGCACAAATATTGTGCAAAACACAGCAAGCCCCAAGCACAACAGGCAAGTCCTGCAGCTTGATCTCAGTCCTCTTCTGCAAGCAAGACCACCTCCCTTTGAGCTTTGCAAATGCATCTTTAGCCACCCTTTCCACTTCTCCGATTTTCTCATTGAATGCGTGCTGGGTCCACGTCAAGTTCTGGTGGGTGTAAGGAACCAGCACCCAATCCATCAGTGGAACCCAGCATTTCCCACAATCCACACATCCTTCAAGAGTCCTCTGTTTGCTCTCTGGAACAAGGCAGACTTCTCCAGCACCTGATCGTCCGGCATCGAACCCGGCCAGCCTATGCAAACGTCGGTGAAAACGCCTCTCGGATCGACAACCCCTTGAACCGTGACCGAATACGAAGTTTTCTGGTTGCGTTCCGTGTGCCGCTTGTTGAAATACGCAGCCACATTCACCTTTGGAGCAATAATTGATATGTGGGTGGTGTACATAGACCCAGCAATATTTGGAATTCCGGAAGTGGCCTCGAACTCCTCCTTGATTTCCTGCATCCTGCCCTCGTCCGGCCACTGGAGAAACTTGTGCATCAAGACAGTCTTGATGGCAACGCAAACTTCCAGAACCAGCTTGTGGCAGGTGGAGATTCCCAGCCCGAAACGTCTCGAAACCTCCCGGAGCGGCTCCCCGGTGGCAAGCCGATATATGCACACCGCCACGCGTTGGCGCACCGGAATTGCCTCGCGCAGCATTGTGTTCTTCTTAAAAACCGCCGACTCCAGCTCCGCGCAGATCATGTCGAACGTCCCCTTGCTCATCCGAAAAGCTTTTCGAAACTCCTCCTCCGAAACGTCTGGGCGGCCCAAATTCTCCCACCACACCTTGGGCCTGTCCTTCACCCAAAGCCTCCGGTGCGGACCCGGGATCGTAGCACTCGAACTCGGGTCCGGACCGGCCGCGGAGGCCTCAGCTGCAGCAGCGGCCGCAGCGGAAGCGGACTGTCGACGCCGTTTCGCCCTAGACAGGTCCGATTCGTCGGATTGAGAATGGTGCTGCTGAAGATCAGAGTAGTACTCCTCCATAGCTCGAGTCTTCCGCCTGTGATTATCTTCAAGCATCGATCTTTCCTCCTGGGCTTCGACCAAGTACCTCTCCTGCTCCAGCTTCTCCTCCTCGTCCAGCAGAATCAGCGAGGCGAGTATGTCGCTCATTGCCCCAGGAGCAGCTCCAGCGCCGCCACCATGATTGTTTCCCTCGTCCTTTCTCCGCTTCTTCAGGCTGTGATTCCAGCCATTTATGTCGAATTCGTCCATGTCGGACAACAGGGTATAGAAATGGGAGTCATCTTCTTGACTAAGAAATGGGAACGGAGTAATTTCCATGAAAGGTCTGAACTTTGGTGGTGGGACGAAAGGTGTTTGAAGAAATGCCTGTGTGAACCTTGAATTGCGAGCTTGGAGGTGAACTGGTAGAGATGGAGATGTTGGCTGCAGGTGTTGAACTGGAGGGGCGGCATATTTATATCTGTGCGAGGCGTGTATGCAGGTGTGAACGCGGAGTGGGGGGCCTTTTGACTGAGACTTGACCTTTTTGGACGAGTGCTTTTACGCGGTTGGGGTTTTTGGGGGACGGTGGTTTTTTGTATAAACGTTGGGAATTTGGAAGGGGAGAACAGAAGGAAATGGGGAAGTTTCGTTCTGGGGGAAGGAAGAAGGAAAGGGGGAAAAGGGTGGAGAATAAGTGAAATAGTGACTTTGCTTGTACTCAATTGCTAAATGACTTTTGTTGCCAAAAAGCTCCCCCAAAGATTCACTATTTTGTGTTTTGGATGTGCTTCAGAGTTTTCCTTCTCAATGAAATATGTGAAAAGCTGGTTCATAAACTCTGAGTGCCTGTAGTCGTTTACAAGCTAATGATGAGGCGTCGAGTGAATTTGAATGTTTCGTGCCAAAGAAGGTTTTTGAACTAAATTGTTCGGGTTTTGTCGTACGCGTATATTTATAGAATTCGTAACGGTAAAATTAGTAGGATTATTGGTGAACTCTGAATACACGTGTGATCATCTGCGAGCAGTGAATATGAAAACAGTTTAACTGTTTCGTGCCAAAGAAGGTTTGAAGTAAACTGTTTTGGATCTTTTGTTTTACGGTATTAATATTTTATAGAATTTGTAACGGTAAAAGCAAAAATGTTATAAACTAAACGCTGAATACGTGTAATCATTTGCAAGCCACTAGGGATCGTGAGAAAATTTGAATCTTTTGCATGAAAGAAGGCTTCCAACTAAACTATTCAGTAAACGCTCATTACATGTAATCATTTGCAAGCGATAAGGTATCGAGTAAATGTACTCAAGATTGGGTTTTCAATTTTGTTAGGGAAGTTTGATGTAACGTGAAAATTTAGTTAACTAAACCAAAAAAATTGACGTGAATTGTCAGCCCCAAATTTATTGAAGGCATTCGCTTACTCAAAAACACAAACTCGTATATTTTAAATTTATGTATTAACTAAAATCCATAAACATAGTCGGTGTTATTTTACTGAATTTTTTTCCAAAAAATAACAAAACGATGAATATTAATGTTATATCCATCGGGATTTTGCACCGGACATCCTCTATTTTTTTTTTTTTTTAGTTAGGTGTTGATCACGGTGTCTGAATCTAAAAATTTGATGAGAAAAAAAAAATTATCGACCCGTGCCTCATTTGGATACTCAAGAGATGATTTCATGTTCAAGTTTGTTCAATAATGGAAAATACTAGGTTTGCGAGCTTAAAAAAAGTGACGAAGAGTAGGTTTAGTTATCAAATATGAGATTTGGTGGTGGTTAAGAAAGTGTTTAACATAAATAAATTAAAATTTAAAGGGACAAACTAGTTATTTCGTATTAAAATTTTACAGGGATTAATTTCAAAAGATTGAGGGGTGGGAACAGAATTATCCTAAAATTAAAGGACAAAACCATCAACCATCATCTATTTACAATGTACAATAAATGAGCGTCGTTACGGTGCTGTTAAAACGTTACCTGCACGAATTAGTACTGACACAAAAGGATTTTCGATCCTTTCTAATGAAACCCTGCCTCACAATTTACTTTCACTTTTTACTTTTTATTTAAGATTGTCTTGGTCAACTTCTCTTTTATTTAAAACCAACAATTTCTGTAGTCGAATCGTTAAAAACAACTACCGGTTAGTGAAACAGGGAGCTATCTTGTTTTTGATAAAGCGATGTTCAAAATAAAATTGCTATTTATATACTTACTTTTATTTTTCACATTATTTTATTAATTGATGCAATTGGTTGAGTGACTCTCAGGTTTCTATCTTCGTCTTCTTCCTAAGAACCCTTGGCTCCTCTTACATCACCAATGTATAAGGTGTTAGGTTTCTACCAATATGTTCTGGGTTTGAAACTTCTACTCTCCTAATTTATTGTAATAGTTTCGAACTCTTTTCATCCCCTTAATGATAATAATTTTTTTTTAAAATGAATGGATGGATATCACTACCCTATTCTAATTTATGAACGAAGGAGAGTAAGATATTTACAAAGAGTAATGCTAGAGAGACTGAATATTTAAATTAAAATTTGTAATCTATATAATGTGGATGTTGATGATTGGATTATTATTAAATATTAATTAATGTGCTTATCTACTATCAGTAACGCATCACATGATTTACAAATTTAGTCTAAAAAGTTCGTTTACCTAGCATTACTCATTTACCAAAGAGGAAGTACATTTTACTAGCCAACTTTACTACACTCCGATATGTCTGAGAACTACTATATTAAAACTAAATTCAGTATTTTTTTTTTTTTTTTTTGCCATTTAACTAATAAATGTATGTCATTGTTAAATGTAGCATAATTACATGAAAGAGATGAGAAGAAAACTCTCTTAAAAGTAAGACTAATCTCTGCTACATCATTTTTTAGCATAATATTTTTTTAATACTGACATGAAAATTAATGTTAAACATAAAATAATAGAAAATCATTGAAGAATCCCGCCTTAAAAAACGTCTACTTAGAATTTATTTTTCGTGAAATTCATGTTCTTTGTTCTTAATGAAGTTCTTTCTCTCTAGGCTCTAGCTTTTAGTTTCGATAGACTTCGATTTATTTCCAAGATTAAAATGGCTTATTTTTAATCACATTGACCCAAAAACTATTGGTCGACGTTGTCAATTTCAAAATTACATGTGATTGATAGTTACATAATTATTTACGTACAAGTCTAAAGAAAGAACAAAACAGCACATGTTTGAAGACTAGCATGTGGTACGTACATGACTCACACACCCACATTATCCGCTGTTTGACATTTTACATGTCGACTTAAAACATTGCAATCACAAACCAAATAAATTATGACCATAATTATTTACATGTATTTAGCGTGAATTATTTCGTAATCCAACACAATTCACAAAAAATATAAAAATAAAATCAAATAACTCAAATGTCAGTTAGCTAGATTAGTTTGACCGTCTCATTTCACTTGAAATTGAATTCTTAAATTAAAGTAATTTATAATTCAAATTTGCTAAATTTTCAATAGAGATAAAATAATAATAATAATAATGACAGACTAAAGCATTATCTCATTCGCTGGCCATCCTCCATAGGTTGTTGAGTTTTGTACTGTTTTATTAGCGGCTTGACTTGCATGTCAATTGTCAACAGTTTTTATAGTCTTCTTCCCTTTGGAATCATTGACTTCAAATTTATTGGTGATTTGATATCAGGTTTATAATTAATTAAAATACCCATATATATTAGTCTCTGTTTTTCATCAAGCGGTTGAAAAGCCAGCTCTTAGGTTGTTATAATTATTTTTCAACGGCCAATGCAATTTTATTCATAATTCACCAAATTAGGCACGGACATAGGACCTTACCGTGTCATGATCAGTGAGATATGAACATAAAAATATTAGAAAATTATAGTAATGGTCTCTTAATTTTAACTTAATTAGAGCGATGGTTCATCAACAAAAAAATCTATAATTATTGGTCCCTTAACTCTTCAAAACATGCAATTATGATCATTTTCATCAACTCCGTCAAAATGAGTCATGTTGGAAGAATCATTGTCACAATTGAGTTAAAGTTAATAAACCATTGCTTCAATTGAATTAAAGTTGAGGGACTCATTTCTCCAATTGGGTTAAAATTGAGGGATAATTTCTCCAATTTTTCTCATTTAGTTTCCTATATTTGCCCTTTAATTCAGCTTTATGTACGTGGCACGTGACTCATTTTGACGAAGTTGATGAAAATGATCATAACTGTACATTTTGATAAGTAAATGGATCAATAGTCATGGATTTTTAGTTGAGAGATTATTACTCCAATTGAGTTAAAGTCCTTCACCATTGCTACAATTTTCTGAAAATATTATTTTCGTGACACGCAAATCATCAATACTACAATCCATAACATGTTTAGTTTAAGCGTAAGGTACTACATTATTATAAATTATTATAAAGGAAATTTTAACGAAAAACTCCCGGTACTTTTCATTTTGACAAAAAATCATATTTTTATACTAAAAAGTCAATTCTGGTACTATTTATTTTACCTTTTATTTTGTCTTTATCATTAAAACTCAAAGTTTTTAAGTTTTTTTCATTAATTTTTCTTATTATAAATCCAAGGAGTTTACCTAAGCCTCAAGAATATGTGTTTTTACTAAAACTCGGTGATATTACTTGTCTTTAAGCATTTAGTGCAATTGGTGTACCTTTTTTTTAATAACATGTGTTCACATTATACAAGTGTTTTGCAAGTGATCATATATGTTTTTTAGTACATCGATATTTTTACATTAAGGGAGGGGGAGTTCGACAAATCCGCTTAATGGGCAGCCTAATTTTGTATCGAATTCACCATTCACGAGATTCGAATCTAAAACCTCTCACTTCCAAGTAAAGAGGAATACCATAAGATCGTAGTACTGAGTGGCATATATATGTTACAAAATCAATCATAACAGCTGACAAGAAGTGAAGAAAATGACATGTAAAAATCATTCTCTTTATTAGAACCAAGCTTAGAAATTAAAAGCCATCATGTGGGAAAATTGAATCTTTATGGGGTGTGAAATATAACCTCTCACAGTTTCTCTCTAGAAACCTAGATTCAAACCTCTTCTCCGGCTTCAACTTTCAGCCACCGGCCCTTACTTTTATTTGGGGTAGGCGGCAACCCGCTACTTCCTCATTTTTTTAGTCTCATTCTTCCCACATTTGCCTTTTTCTTCTTTTCCTTCCCTTCACTTCCTCTGCTCCACCCCATCCCTGCATTCATCTCTTCCTCTCCTCTTTCCAATCTCTTTCTTTTGTTTTATTCCTGATTCTCCTGAGTTTATCTCAGTTTTTCTTGAATTGGGTCTCAACTATCCCCTGAGCTTGTCTCAGATATGGGCTTCTTGCCCTTTATCCAGCATCTTTTGCCTACTTTTACTGTTTTCTGTCTTTTAACACTTTGTCATCCCTCCTCCTTATTTGTGATACTACATCCCTATCCCATCATGTACTTGGATAGGCAGGCTCCAATCAGGAATGGGATACCAAATCCACTTCCCTCCTTCACCCCCCAACCCCAAACGGCATACATATGTTGTAACCCCATCAAGGCCAAGTGTTGGTATTTTACATACCCCCTTAGCCTCACCCTCTACATGTATGATACTTTGTTTGTATATATTTGTAGGGGCTCGTGAAGGAGAATTGGATCTAGTGTTTACTTTTTCGGTTCGGAGTTTGGCTTACTTCGAGGAAGTGACGGCGACAAAGATATGGTCTTTGTTGATGAAGGTTAGGGTTTTTTTATTGTCTATTTTCTGCTGCCTTCGGGCCTAAGCTTATATGGGCCTTGCGTTGTATCTTAGATTGTTACTCTCATTTTGCTTGAGCCTTTAACTTTTCCTGTGATTATTTACCCAATTCTTTTTGGGCCTTGTACTAGTTTTTATATTAATAAAAGTTGACTTTGTGTTAAAAAAAAAAAAAAAATACATAATACAACGGTCTAATGATACCTTTTTTCACTTGTAAATTAGAGGTCTGATGTTCGATTTTAAACCATATTATTGTTAGAGGCTAAGTTCATCTCTCATTTTTAACGTGCATAATATCATTTGTTAAAAAAAAAAAAAAAAAAAAAGAAAGGGATAATACTTGTGTTTTAGAAGGATAACCCCAAAACATAAAGTAATGGCTCGTGGTTTTTCTAATATTTCTAATTTATTTATTTTATTACTGTATCTGCAAAAACATCGCGAGGTAGGAACTGTAGGGAAGGCCTGGCCACAAAGAACACAAGAAACAGACAAAAACCCAGATGAGCAGCTGCTCTTCCATGGCTTCCCTTCTCATCCCACCTCCCACCCTTCCCCTCCAACTCAAGGTAAATTTTATTATATCACCCATTTTTCATTCTTTATTTATTTATTTATTATTTTTTTATGATTACAATTTAATTTTACTTTATTTAATTTGGGTTTTGTTTATTTGATCGATTGCAGGAGGATGGGATTAGAGTCAGCACTCTACTTAGGAACCCATCATCTAAAATTGACCGGACCGGTCTGAGAAGTTGCAGACGTCACGGACGGTGTTCTGTGGCGAAAGCTAAGGCGACCGTTGAAGAAGATGTACTGGAGAAGCAATCAGTCGGTGCTCAGGACAAAAATGGTAACTCTCTTATTCTTTAGGTCACTTTTATTTGATTGCCAAAAATTGTCTTCTAAGTTGGGTCTTGGAATTTGGGAATTTGGTGTGACTGAGACATGTAAAATGATAAAATCCATGGCAATAAAGAGAAATTTTTTGTGATTGTTTGTTGTTTTAAGAAAAATATAAAGCATTTAAAGTTAATGGAAGACTTGATGTTAAATCAAACACAGTGATGTTTTAAAGTTCATACACCCGAGCTCATAGTAAGATTTATTATTGTTGTTTATTGTTTTAAGAACTTTAATTTTGTGTTGCATCCCAACCTCTTGCCATTTAGTACTATGGTCTAGTGATATTCTTCTTCTTTTGTAAGTGAGAGGTCTTAGATTCGATTGGCGAGTTTGAACCACATTATTGCTAGCCTATTATGATGCTAAACCCACCCCTAGATAATATTGTTTGTTTAAAAAAAAAAAAATTTAATTTCACGTTTGAGTTTCGGATGAACCGTTTTAAGTTATTTTTTGTATGATCATACAATGTTTTGAATAAAACAACCTCTTTTTTTTTATTTTTAATTTATTTTTAATTTTTTTAAAGTGAACTTTAATTGTATGATGTGATATCGTTTCACACACTCTAATTTGCGTGCTTAACTCAATCTTTGGGACATATTTGTTTTGAACACTGGTTGCCTCGTTACATGAAAGGACTAATCTTTCTTATGTATGTACAAATCACAGTTTAACACATATCCTACAAAATACTCTAAAAGTTTGTTTGAAGCAGTGTGCTCCCTCTCCACTTACTTTAGTGCCGACTGTGGCTCGAATCACAGAAAGACAAGTTTTTGTACGTTCTCTGATGCATCTTACTTGTTCATCTTTTGATTCTCATGCAGATTTTGGAGTTGTTAGTGTCCACCATGTCGGATTGCTGTGTGAAAACCTTGAAAGATCTCTCAGCTTTTACCAGAACATTTTGGGTAAATTTCAAATTCTCATCTTTTACTTACATTTTAAAAGTACATGACTTAACATCATTGATGGATAAAAAAATAATAGGGCTTGAAATAAATGAGGCAAGGCCACATGATAAGCTCCCCTACAGAGGTGCTTGGCTATGGGTTGGTTCAGAGATGATTCATCTCATGGAACTTCCAAATCCCGACCCTTTGACCGGAAGACCAGCTCATGGAGGCCGCGACCGCCATACTTGTATTGCAATCCGGGATGTGTCTAAGCTGAAAGCAATCCTCGACGATGCTGGTAAGCTTTAGTTTTCCTCATCTGCAGTTAATTTCACTTTCAATAACATGTCCAACGGATGTTGATCTATGGAAGGAATGTGGGCGACTTATACTGCTATCTGCTACTGCAGGTATTCCCTACACGCTGAGCAAGTCCGGGAGGCCGGCGATTTTCACGCGAGACCCGGATGCAAATGCTCTGGAGTTTACTCAAGTTTAATAGCTGAGAATTGCAGCATCCATATCATAACCAGCTTTATATGTTGATCCCAGCTAATAGAGATTATAGAGTTTGTACAGTTTGTTTATACATTTGAAAGCTGATTGTTATATGGACTGTTGGCGTAAAAAGCTACAGTATCAGATTATGATCATATAATAAAGTACTTAATTTGCAATGTTTGAATGATTGGAGTAACTTGCTAAGTAGTCACAGCTTTTCTTTCTTCAAAGAGAGATGTATGAAGTTGCTGGTCGTCGGGTCTTGGAATGGACGGTAGAGGAGTCGATGCCGCCATCTTACAAGATCGAATTCTAGGTGGTTGTCACCCACAGGGAGTGGCGGCCAGAAAAAAGAAATTGCCTAGGTCGAGGGTAATTCGAGAGAGACCCTAGGATCTTGCTCTGATACCATGATAAATGCTTTTAACTACTCGAGCTGCAAGAACATAGCCTAATCCTACTTAGGCACTTTGGGTTACTTTCAGCTTAGACACATGCCGGATTGCAATACAAGTGTGGCTGAATTTCGACCTGCAAAATTTGGCATAGAAATAGGTATCAAAATTTCAGTTAAGTTAAAGCAACGAGAGAGCTTCCATGACAAAAAACCAAGGCAATCAAAATTTCTTATCAACTGCATCAGCTCATATTCAAGGTAGTAACAAAATTTGTTACATTTCAGTTTGTTAAAAGGAATTGCTACTCGTCTAAAATCTTAGGCTCGATTAGATAGATGGCTCTCTCCATGTAATATGTGTGTGAGTGAATGAATGTGTGAAGGAGGTCATAGCCTCTGTAATTCTCTCTGCAATTCTCTTCCATTTCCAGCTTCTTTCTTCTTCATTGCATTCATCATTTTTAATCATTCTGTGTGTCTAACTCTCTGTAAAACTTCACTCTCAAGTTCAAATACACTAACATGGCATCAGAGCCAGGTTGCATTTCTGGGCGTTAGAATCTGTGAAATCAGAATTAGAGCTTTTTCTTGCTTTGACGAGCCCCGACCTCTCGAGATTCAAATCTAACATGGCTGGTCTGGTGGTAGAGAGCTACAAGCTCTGATTTTCAATGGCAACAACTTCGACTTCTGGCAAATCAGAATGAAGACCATTTTCCGATCCCATGAGCTGTGGAATCTGGTTGAGAAGGGCTTTGCTACTTCAGCAAAGCAGGTAGAGGTCACAGAAGCTGAGAGTAAGCTCTTGCGAGAGAATCTGATGAAGGATGCTGGAGCAGGCATCATTCAAGGTGCCGTTTCAGATCAAATATTCTCGACAATCACTACGCAGGCAGCTTGGGGTATTTTGAAAGCAAGAATTTGTTGGTGATAAACAAGTAAGATCTATAAAACTTCAAGGTCTTAGACGAGATTTTGAATGTACTAGGATGATTTGAGTAACCAAAGAAGTTAATTATGGTGATGATTTGAGTAACCAACGAATGGTTTAGAAGTTGTTGATTAGTCTAGCTTAAACCTACGATGGTATTACCTCAATCTCCTTTAATGTCTCCAAATGCTTTGCTTTCTCTTCAGCGGCAATTTTTCTCAGCGACTTGTTTCATCAACGCATTCACAAGAAGAAAGTAATTGCACCTAGAAGTATAGAGAAAATAAAGATAATGGATTAAAGAAAAGGCACTATAATATCACATCCAACATCATATTCATTTTAGTCATCTTACACCGTTGTTGTAGTTTTATATAAAAGTTTACTAAACGCATCATATTCTTTTTAGTCATTTTGCATTGTCCTTGTACTTTTACAACAAAAATTTACTAAACACTGAATTGCTTTGTTGTATAACTATTTATTCTTAGTAAAAACATTTTTTTTTAAAAGCACATCCATAAAGACTGTCACATAAAATATCCAAAGTTGATTAAGTTGAAGCTGGCCAAGTTTCAAGGACCCGAGTGAACTCGTCCAAGCACTTGCTGTTCAACTCTACGTTGCCAAATATCTCCCTCATCGCCCATGCATTTGCCCTTAGTAACTCGCTCTCTTTCTCCACCATCGCTCGCCTAATCAACTCGGCCACCGAGTCACTCGTAAACGACCCGTCTCGCTCGTTCCTTGGTATCTCCAACCCAACCTGCTTTTCGTGCATTAGTCTCGCGTTCAACCCTTGGTCCGAATTTGCACCCGAAAACAAAATCAAAACCCGCCCAAACCCTAATGCTTCAATAATTGAACTCCAACCGCAATGAGTTAGGAATCCTCCGACTGAGATATGACCTAAAATCTTACGTTGCGGGGCCCAACCCCTCCACACAAAGCCTCGACCGTCCACTCGCGTTTCAAATCCAAGTGGAAGGATATTGGACCTCAACGCGCCCTCCACTAACGGGCGATTGTTGACCACCAAAATAAAAGGCAACCCCGATTTCTCTATCCCATGTGCCAACTCGTGCATAAGCTCTTGGCTCAGAGTCACCTCGGTGCCGAGTGCGATGTAAATCACCGAGTTGGGTTTCTTATTTTCGAGCCACTCTCTCAACACTTCCCACTTCTCATCTGCTCGATCGTTAGCGCCGCCGGGCTGATGCGGTGCTGAGCTGGGCGGCAGCAGCCCGAGTGGAACAACGGGTTTGCCGTATAAATTTCTGAGCAGACGCACCGCGTCAGATTCAACCTCGGTGCAGCTCCGTATAGTCACAAAATTACAATCTTGAACCGTAACCGCGAGCCTCTGAAAATCGGAGACCTCGTCGTCCATGCAATCCCAAGGACTCACCATCTCGTGCAGCTTATAAGCGACGGTGGAAGGATAGTCGACCCACTCGGGAACGACCGTAAAGTCCTCCGGCCGCCGGCGTTTATCGCTGAGTAACTCAGACGGAGGTCCGCAGAAAGCCAAGAAAGTGGCGTTGAAGATGCTGAAGTAGACCGAGTTGACTCCGAGCTGAGTGGCGACTTGGGGCAGCCGGTAGCCAATAAAGTCGTGGACGACCCAGTTGACGCCCGAGTGTTGGACGAAATGCGTGACTGCTGGCTTGAGCAAGTCGTAGGCTTTTTTGAGGTAGGGGGCTTTATTGATTGGTAGCTGGGAGGTGGACTCGACGGATTCAGGTAAGCCGTCGACGGCGGGGAGAGGAAGCTCGACGAAATCGATGAGTGGGGAAGGGGAGGATGACCGGAGGCGATTGATGTTTTGGGGGGTGGAGATGAAGGAGATTTGGTGACCCTTTTGAGCTAAGAACTTGGAGATCTCGAGAAATGGCATTAGGTGGCCGTAGGCTAGCCATGGGGAACATGGCGATGTGAAGTTTCTTCTCATCTTTGCGCTCCATGTCCGAGAGGTGAGACTCTCAGGCCTTTGATACCAGAAGTTGTAAATAAAGGGCTAGTAGGAAAAGGTACCATGTTGGCCAAATTATTGGATTTGGTTATGCATGGCTAATCTTTAGCCGCGGGTTTAGATGGTGATGATGACAAACCAGTAATCCACGTGAAATTATTGAGATGGTGATTTGATGTTGTCATTGAGGACCGAATGCTTTTTTCTTAATTTATTAAGTTTGAAAATCTAAATTATTGAAATTTGATCAAACGGTTAAAGTTATTATAACTTTTAAAGTGGATCTCTATTTGTAGCTATTAAATCAAATTTTAATAATTCAGATCTCTGAATTTGATGGATTAAAAGGAAAGGATCGAAGAAGATTCATTTCGTCAATTGATGATAGGATTACTATGCAAGCAGAAAGGTCAGGTGGTGAGGCCCACGTGCAGAAAGGTGGAGTTGGCGTTTTGCAAGCGGAGTTATTCCGCTGTCAGGTAGCTTATGGCCAATTAGAAAATGTTAGAGCAACTCCATCCCTTAAAAAATACGTTGGCATTATGCCTATTTAATTCACTCAGTGAACAGTGATAGGTCTCAATGAACAATAATTGGCCAAATGCATCTCCACTCCTTAAAAATGCGTAGACACAAAGTCTAAAAAATGAGCTCGCACAAACAATCTCCACCTCTACAAGATGCGCTAGCATCTAGCCCATTTAAAATACTGTGTAATTCTTTTATAAATAAAAAAATATTCAGATAAGAGTTTTAATCAATTTTAACGACCCCATCCCAAAAACTAAAAAATAAGGATCCACGTAGAAATTTGGAGCCTTCGAGAGAGAATAAAAGCAGCATTATCGACACTAATCAGCTCCAAGAATCTCACTTCTCACTCCTCATCTCTATGCCGCTCCATCTGCCTCCAACCAAATCCTCTCTCTCCTCTGCCGACTTTCCTCTCTCCAATCGCACCATCCAAAGCCATCACCACCAACATCTGCATCGGTCTCAGTTGCAAGTCCCAGACCCGCTCTGCAAATTTCTCATCGATGAAGGTGTCGGCTTACTAGCCCGAAGAAGCCAGGGTCCTGCCTGCTTTTCCCCTGCCCACTCCTCTCGTCACCAAGGCAAGTTGCCTCTTTAATCTATGTGTGTATTTGGTGATTTTGTGGTGAATTTTTAGAGTTTTGAGGTTGAATTAGAATTGGGGTTTTGGTGTGGTTTAAGATTGCGCTGTGCCAACTGTCGATGACGCTGGATAAGGAGAGGAACATTTCCCACTCTCTGAAAGCCATCGCGGATGCTGCCGCAAAGGGCGAAAAAAAATTCAAAAGGCCTGTGAAGTCACATAGGCTGGGCCTTGGCTCAGCACATTCTGGGCCGGCCTAGTAGATGGCTTGGGCTGGGTACCAGCCTATTAGGCTGGGCTGGAGTAGTTTTAGGGGTTGCCGGGCCATTTTATGTGCTTTGAGTCGGCTTACCCCTTATGGGTGGACTTGGCATCATTCAAGGTGCCGTTTCAGATCAAATATTCTCGACAATCGCTACGCAGGACACTGCAAAGACAGCTTGGGGTATTTTGAAAGCAAGAATTTGTTGGTGATAAACAAGTAAGATCTATAAAACTTCAAGGTCTTAGACGAGATTTTGAATGTACTAGGATGATTTGAGTAACCAAAGAAGAAGTTAATTATGGTGATGATTTGAGTAACCAACGAATGGTTCAGAAGTTGTTGATTAGCCTACCTAAAACCTACGATGGTATTACCTCAATCTCCTTTAGTGTCTCCAAATGCTTTGCTTTCTCTTCAGCGGCAATTTTTCTCAGTCACTTGTTTCATCAACGCATTCACAAGAAGAAAGTAATTGCACCTAGAAGTATAGAGAAGATAAAGATTATGGATTAAAGAAAAGACACTATAATATCACATCCAACATCATATTTATTTTAGTCATCTTACACCGTTGTTGTAGTTTTATATAAAAGTTTACTAAACGCATCATATTCTTTTTAGTCATTTTGCATTGGCCTTGTACTTTTACAACAAAAATGTACTAAACACTGAATTGCTTTGTTGTATAACTATTTATTCTTAGTAAAAACATTTTTTTTAAAAGCACATCCATAAAGACTGTCACATAAAATATCCAAAGTTGATTAAGTTGAAGCTGGCCAAGTTTCAAGGACCCGAGTGAACTCGTCCAAGCACTTGCTGTTCAACTCTACGTTGCCAAATATCTCCCTCATCGCCCATGCATTTGCCCTTAGTAACTCGCTCTCTTTCTCCACCATCGCTCGCCCAATCAACTCGGCCACCGAGTCACTCGTAAACGACCCGTCTCGCTCGTTCCTCGGTATCTCCAACCCAACCTGCTTTTCGTGCATTAGTCTCGCGTTCAACCCTTGGTCCGAATTTGCACCCGAAAACAAAATCAAAACCCGCCCAAACCCTAATGCTTCAATAATTGAACTCCAACCGCAATGAGTTAGGAATCCTCCGACCGAGATATGACCTAAAATCTTACGTTGCGGGGCCCAACCCCTCCACACAAAGCCTTGACCGTCCACTCGCGTTTCAAATCCAAGTGGAAGGATATTGGACCTCAACGCGCCCTCCACTAACGGGCGATTGTTGACCACCAAAATAAAAGGCAACCCCGATTTCTCTATCCCATGTGCCAACTCGTGCATAAGCTCTTGGCTCAGAGTTATAGAATTGATATGTTTTTGTTGATTTCTATTCTGATGAGCTTGGTTGTTTTATATACATCTTACACACACACATGCAATAAACTAATGTTGTAAAGGTGGCGTGCTTGCTGTCCATGCTGCAACACATCAGAGCACATGAGCTGTACCATGTGGTAGTCTGCTGTCAAGGAATATTGCAGCCACGTGCAGTATTCCTTCTGTCCAGGTTGTATTCCAATTGTGCAGTTGATGGAGCAGATTGTGTTGTTGACGAACTGATCTCCTTTGATGTAGGAGATTCCTTAACAAGAGTCACCTCGGTGCCGAGTGCGATGTAAATCACCGAGTTGGGTTTCTTATTTTCGAGCCACTCTCTCAACACTTCCCACTTCTCATCTGCTCGATCGTTAGCGCCGCCGGGCTGATGCGGTGCTGAGCTGGGCGGCAGCAGCCCGAGTGGAACAACGGGTTTGCCGTATAAATTTCTGAGCAGACGCACCGCGTCAGATTCAACCTCGGTGCAGCTCCGTAGAGTCACAAAATTACAATCTTGAACCGTAACCGCGAGCCTCTGAAAATCGGAGACCTCGTCGTCCATGCAATCCCAATGACTCACCATCTCGTGCAGCTTATAAGCGACGGTGGAAGGATAGTCGACCCACTCGGGAACGACCGTAAAGTCCTCCGGCCACCGGCGTTTATCGCTGAGTAACTCAGACGGAGGTCCGCAGAAAGCCAAGAAAGTGGCGTTGAAGATGCTGAAGTAGACCGAGTTGACTCCGAGCTGAGTGGCGACTTGGGGCAGCCGGTAGCCAATAAAGTCGTGGACGACCCAGTTGACGCCCGAGTGTTGGACGAAATGCGTGACTGCTGGCTTGAGCAAGTCGTAGGCTTTTTTGAGGTAGGGGGCTTTATTGATTGGTAGCTGGGAGGTGGACTCGACGGATTCAGGTAAGCCGTCGACGGCGGGGAGAGGAAGCTCGACGAAATCGATGAGTGGGGAAGGGGAGGATGACCGGAGGCGATTGATGTTTTGGGGGGTGGAGATGAAGGAGATTTGGTGACCCTTTTGAGCTAAGAACTTGGAGACCTCGAGAAATGGCATTAGGTGGCCGTAGGCTAGCCATGGGGAACATGGCGATGTGAAGTTTCTTCTCATCTTTGCGCTCCATGTCTGAGAGGAGAGACTCTCAGGCCTTTGATACCAGAAGTTGTAAATAAAGGGCTAGTAGGAAAAGGTACCATGTTGGCCAAATTATTGGATTGGTTATGCATGGCTAATCTTTAGCCGCGGGTTTAGATGGTGATCATGACAAACCAGTAATCCACGTGAAATTATTGAGATGGTGATTTGATGTTGTCATTGAGGAAAGGAATCATCTCCGAATGCTTTTTTTTTTAATTTATTAAGTTTGGAAATCTAAATTATTGAAATTTGATCAAACGGTTAAAGTTATTATAACTTTTAAAATGTATACTATTAAATCAAATTTTAATACTTCAGAATTGGATTAAAAGGAAAGGATCGGAGAAGATTCATTTCGTCAATTGATGATAGGATTACTATGCAAGCAGAAAGGTCAGGTGGTGAGGCCCACGTGCAGAAAGGTGGAGTTGGCGTTTTGCAAGCGGAGCACGTGCAGAATGGTGGAGTTGGCGTTTTGCAAGCGGAGTTATTCCGCTGTCAGGTAGCTTATGGCCAATTAGAAAATGTTAGAGCAACTTCACCTCTTAAAAAATACGTTGGCATTATGCCTATTTAATTCACTCAGTAAACAGTGATAGGTCTCAATGAATAGTAATTGGCCAAATGCATCTCCACTCCTAAAAAATGCGTAGACACAAAGTCTAAAAAATGAGCTCGCACAAACAATCTCCACCTCTACAAGATGCGCTAGCATCTAGCCCATTTAAAATACTGTTTAATTCTTTTATAAATAAAAAAATATTCAGATAAGAGTTTTAATCAATTTTAACGACCCCATCCCAAAAACTAAAAAATAAGGATCCACGTAAAAATTTGGAGCCTTCGAGAGCGAATAAAAGCAGCACTATCGACACTAATCAGCTCCAAGAATCTCACTTCTCACTCCTCATCTCTATGCCGCTCCATCTGCCTCCAACCAAATCCTCTCTCTCCTCTGCCGGCTTTCCTCTCTCCAATCGCACCATCCAAAGCCATCACCACCAACATCTGCATCGGTCTCAGTCGCAAGTCCCAGACCCGCTCTGCAAATTTCTCGTCGATGAAGGTGTCGGCTTACTAGCCCGAAGAAGCCAGGGTCCTGCCTGCTTTTCCCTTGCCCACTCCTCTCGTCACCAAGGCAAGTTGCCTCTTTAATCTATGTGTGTATTTGGTGATTTTGTGGTGAATTTTTAGAGTTTTGAGGTTGAATTAGAATTGGGGTTTTGGTGTGGTTTAAGATTGCGCTGTGCCAACTGTCGATGACGCTGGATAAGGAGAGGAACATTTCCCACTCTCTGAAAGCCATCGCGGATGCTGCCGCAAAGGGCGAAAAAAAATTCAAACGGCCTGTGAAGTCACATAGGCTGGGCCTTGGCTCAGGACATTCTGGGCCGGCCTAGTAGATGGCTTGGGCTGGGTACCAGCCTATTAGGCTGGGCTGGAGTAGTTTTAGGGGTTGCCGGGCCATTTTATGTGCTTTGAGTCGGCTTACCCCTTATGGGTGGACTTGCTTTAAGGCATCTCCAACCGAAAAAATGGCCAAAGGATCATGTTTAGTCTTATAGTTCTACAAAAAATTATATTTTAATGAACAGTATCAGGCCATATTTTATATTATCTTCAACCAAGGAGACCAAAAGGTCATAGGCCAAACATAACCCTTTGATAACAAACGCTCCACCTGAGGGGACCAAAAGGCCATAGGCCAAACATAATTTATTATTTTAATTGAGTTAATATGGTTAATTGAATTGAACTATCATATTAAAATAAGGTTTTCGAACATATTTTGAGTGTCACTTGTCACTAAATTAATAAGCCTTCGGATTTCTTATCTTTATAGAAAGAAAAGGATGTGAAAAATTGGCGAAAAATTGAAATAAAATGAGGTAAGGTAGTATGAAATTGTGAAAAGGATGTGAGAAATATGATAGAAATGACTTAGGTATTTATATAAAAAAAAATTAGATTTTTTTTTTTTAAAATTTCGTCAAAAAAAAAAAAAAAAAAAAGACTCAAACAGTAACCTGACGTCATGATGTGGCATGTGCTTGGGCTAGCTGCTTTTGGCCAGCCTGTCACGCCCCGGCCCCGAAATATTTATTTTCGGGAATTAAGTTTGTTCATAGGCCCAAAATAAAACTCTTGTTTATATAGCCGTCAATATTCATGACCCTTTAATTAAGTTCCTTAATTCCACAAGTTCTATAACCTTAATTCTCTTATCAAAACATAACAATTTTATTCCCGATTCATTACCCTTTACTTTTTTTTTAGATCAATTTTTCCAAACTAAGAATAGTTCTCAACTAAATTGTAATTCTCGATTATTTAACCTCGTTTAATTTTATGGCTGAATCTAACTTCTCGTTAGACTGCATACGTACCCTAAACAGGGATCAAACCATTTGTAGTTCACATATACAAAAATTCAAACCAAATCCAAATATATTCATTTAATCCAACATATACCATAATCGTACTAATATTCAAACCACAACAGTTAGGTCTCAAAAGCATAATTAGAATAACGAGATTCGCCTAAAAACACAATGTTGGCTCCCTAGCCGTGCCCTGCCGCACCCGCTGTCGCTGGTGGCGGCCGGCTATCCTGGCTCGCCGGAAAATTCAACTATTTCTAAAAATTCTCAAAAATTACAAAAATGAAGATCTCAAAGAGTAAAGCAAACTTTATACCTGCGGCCAAGTCCAATTTGGTTTGGAAAGGCTCCAATTTGCCTCGAACCCATCGGAAACCCTTGATTTTGGGGGTTTTTGATTCGACTCCACAACATCTCCGATGCCCAAACCAATGCATGGGTTTTGTTCCTGAGGTTGAGGGGAGCCTCTTGGTGATGGTGGTTGAAGGAAATTGTTTTAGGTTTTGGTGATTCGAAGATAAACTTGTCGCACCCTCTGATGTGGGTTTTGTAAAAAAACTATGAGGTGTTCTTCATTTATTATTGGTGGACGTGAATAAAATTATGGAATGAGACCTTGAGTTTGTTTAATATAAACGACTTCCCAGTTGTGTTTTTACTTTTTACGTTTGATGGAAATGATTGATGGAGAAGTTTGTAATAACTCATGTAATTGTATGGATGGAATATATAGGAAGTGTGTGGATTTCCCAACGTGGAGATTGTTATATGGTATTGTCTAGTGCAAGTGATTTGAATTTAATGTATTATGTATACTAATATTTGTTGGAAGATCATCTTAACTTACTTCAAAAGACATGAGATCTTGATTATCTCATTTTAATCAACATATATTATGACGATATTTAGACATCCTTAATGTTTTGGTTGATTTGTTTGATGTATAATGAATCAGTTAGAACCAAATTCAATGAAAAAAAAAATGTTATGATTGATATTCTGATTTTGGTCGTTGTTAGAACTGGTGATTTTGGGTTTATGTGAGATAAGTTTGTCCTATGATTGAGACTATCTTTAAATTGATACATGCACTGGTTGCATAATGGTGTAAAGTTTATATGATTAAATTAAGTTATGCATTATCTGTTTTGGTGAGAAATCGGGAACCAATTGGTTGAATTATTACTTTCTTATTCATTGTGTTAGAGTATGTGAAAGTTATAAAATTTGCTGTTGATTGAAGTTTAACCTTATGGCTGTTAAATTTGGCCAGATAAGTTGGAGCAAATTATATTGAGTTTGCTTCAGTAGTTTGATCACAACATTGATTATACAATTTGGATTGGTTCGGTTATCATAGTCATGAGTTGTCGTTGTTGAATTCGATTTTGTGAACAAAGTTGATGAAGAGCACATATTTTCATGACTATGTGATTAATAAGGGTTAATTTCTTAAGCTGATAGAGTCGTGATATATAAATTTCTCTCATTTGGTTGATGGAATGTGAATACTGCTCTGGAAGTGTGAGTCCTTAATTTAGGCGATCTGTGGCTGCCTTTAGAAACAGTTTAAAAGAGAATCAATTAAAATGAAAGATTTAAAAAGGTTTTAAAGATGACTAAGGGTAATTTAGGTTAATCGTGGATATGAATGAAATAATAGAACGAGATTTGATTTCGTTCAGTGTGAACGGTATTGTGGATTGGGTTTTAAATTTCTTTCCATCACATACTAATGAGATTGGAAATTCCAATAATTTTGGTTGGAATTTTGGTATTTGATTTGCCAATTCTAATGGTTTGGCTTGAAATTTTTGATATTTACCTAACTATTAATGATCATGGCTTGAAATTCTAATATTGATTTGGCCGAAAGAAAAATCATGGTGGGAATTTATGATATTAGTTTTGCCAATATTGAGTATGACAAAAATTTTCTGATGTTGGTATCGCCAATGGTAGTGGTTAGAAATTTTGGGAAAGAATTGTGATAATGGTTGTGTGCAGCCAATTAGAATTATGACTAAATGGTTGATATTATTTTTGCCAAAAGTAATGGTAAGTGGTAATACCCATAATTATGATTTAAAATTTAAATTAGTGTGACTGGGATTTCGGATATCTATCTTGCCAATGTGTGTGGCTAGAACTTCTAATATTTTCCCTTACCAGAGATTGTGGTTGTGAGAATCATGATCAATTCTTCGTTGATTTATTTATTTTCAACTTGAATAAAATTGTAGACGGAGATTTTAATTGTATTCACCATAAAAGAAATGGTGTAAATAGTTTTAGTTCCTTCTCGTAATGTGACAATTGAAATCTCGGGGACGAGATTTATTTTAACGGGGGGTGATTGTAATACCCTGAAAATTTAAATATATGAATTTTATATTCATAATTGTGAATATGTGGGAAAAATTGAAAATAAATCGATTTATGGTTATGAAGAATTTAATTGAGAACTTTTAAAGTTTTGTTTCCAGAAATTATTATAATTTACGGTTTTGTATTATTGAGATTTTATGTTATTTTTGGAGAAATTATATTAATTCATTTAAGTTTAGTTTTAAATTAAACTAGTTATGAAGTTTGGGAGTTAATTATTTAAAATCTGTAGGCCTTTCAAAGCCACAATTTATATTTTTGAATAGAGCTCGATCTCACGAACGCGTAGGTGCAAACTGTTCGTGAAACGGAGTTATAACCAAAAAGTTATTAACGTTTAAAGTCAAGGATAAAATGG